ACACAGTGCTCCTGTCCCTTTCTGTTCACTCTGGTCACTGCCCCCCACTGCATATGCCCAGTGTGTGCCCTGTGCCGCTGGCTCCCCCACTCACTGCCCCCCACTCACCTTTGCTGCAGACAGCTGGGGACCGCCCCATCCCCGGCCCTGTGCACACCCAGGTGCTGCAGAATTCGAGGCTTTGTGTAAAAAAGTAAAGGACGCACAGGCCTTTGTAGCACCCACATGCACAGGCAATACGGCCTGGGGACAGGCTCTGGGATGGGTGGGCTGCCAGGGCCATATACAGGCATATTCAGGCGGGGGGAGGTACTTCAAAGTGGCAGCGCCGCCCAGCAGTGTACGCCGGGCCCTTACCTAGTCACGTTGGGCCCTGTTGGACAGGCGTCAGTGCCAGGACAGTGTGGACCTGTTGACCCACTGGGGCAGTTCACACCTGCCTTAGTGCTACCTTGCGAGAGCCCGGCCCGGCCGCGTCTGTGGGCTGCGTGTCACTCGTGCCACGGACGCTGGGCTGAGACATGTGCCTGGTACCAACCCAGCCTGGCTGAGCGCGCAATGCTTGTGGCTGCAGGTGCCTGTCACGTTTGATGACGTCGCCGTCTATTTCTTCCGGGAGGAGTGGGACACGTTTGCGGGATGGCAGAAGGATCTGTACCGGGAAGTGATGACGGAGAACTACCAGCTCCTGCTTGCTTTGGGTAAAGAGCTGGGGGACGGGGAGGTGAGAGGGGGTTGTTATTATTTTGCTCAGACTCTGGGGAGCCCTAATAATTTTTGTTGCCCTTTTCTGAACCTTTTCCAATGCCCAGAGATCTTTTTCGGAGATGAGGCGACCACATCCGCACGCAGGATTCAAGCTGTGGCTGTACCATGGTTTTACACAGAGGCAATAAGAGATTCTCGCTCTTATTCCCTAGCCCTTTTTTAACGATTCCTCACACCCTGTTTGCTTTTTTGCCTGCCGCTGCACCCAGAGTGGATATTTCAGAGAGCGATCCGCAGTGACTCCAAGATCTCACGGGTGTGGGAAACACAACAGCAGCTGTGGCTGTTTGCCGTTGGCTGACGCGTGGGCGTCTGTGACGCTGTTAAGAGCGTCCGGGTTTTCGGTGGCGTCTGCACGTTTCGAAAGTCGGTGCTGAACTGGGCTTTTCTGCTGTCTCGTTACCTGTCCACTTGCTCACGACTCTTTGAAAGCAAGGGCCCGTCTCACGGCCCCGGGGAGGGGAGATGGGGGGGTTCAGACCAATTGATCACGTAATGGAAAACTATTCAGTGAAATCACGACTACGCGGCTCGTACGATCCCGAGTCCTGATGCTCCCAGTCTCTTTCCGCTGTGAACTGGGCTTTTCTGCTGTCTCGTTACCTGTCCACTTGCTCACGACTCTTTGAAAGCAAGGGCCCGTCTCACGGCCCCGGGGAGGGGAGATGGGGGGGTTCAGACCAATTGATCACGTAATGGAAAACTATTCAGTGAAATCACGACTACGCGGCTCGTACGATCCCGAGTCCTGATGCTCCCAGTCTCTTTCCGCTGACAGGCTATGCAGGCCCAAAGCCCGACGTCTTATATCGGCTGGAGCGGGGGGAAGAGCCGTGGGTCCACGCCCCACAGAGCCCCGTGGCGTGGGGGAGCCCCTCTCTGGGTGAGTACCAGGAACCCCAGCTCCTCAGCGCTGCTACCGTAGGCGTCGTAGATTCACAGAACCGTATGGTCAGAAGGGACCACAAGGGTCAGAGGCCAGTGACCCCTTCCCACGTTGCTGCCCTGGCCCCCTTCCTCCCCTGGCTTCCTCCAATAGAGCTGTCACGTCTGGGCATGTCCCATCGGCCTCGCATCCCCTCCCCTGCCCATTCGCCCCCAGCACAAACCCCTGGCCCCTCAGTTTTCAGACTCCCTGTAGATTGTGATTATTTTGGTGGAAATTGTCAGTTGCGGAGGGACCTGTTAGCCGAGGAAGCTGTCACCCTGCCATCCATGCTGTCCTGCTAGCCACTGCCACTGTTTGCTCCTTTTTATAGGCCTTCCTGGCGCCTGATTGGCTGGTTCCTCCTTGCGGCCCTCTAGTGGGCCTTGGAGGACTTCTCTATGGCTTTCTGGTGTAGGGAGGGCCACAAGCCTCCAGCAGGGGCCCTCGGGCTGCAGCCAGGCAGAGCGGTCAGGGGGAGGGACAGAGGCATGTGCTGGGGGAGGTGGCATGGGGCTGCCCCGGGCAGGGCGGCCGAGCGGCTCCCTGGTGACGGAGCATCCGGGTTCTGTTCCCTCCAGCAGAGGAGGAGCCGTGGGTCAGCCCCCTGCAGGACGCCAGGGCGTGGGGGTCTCCAGCAGGGGCCCTCGGGCTGCAGCCAGGCAGAGCGGTCAGGGGGAGGGACAGAGGCATGTGCTGGGGGAGGTGGCATGGGGCTGCCCCGGGCAGGGCGGCCGAGCGGCTCCCTGGTGACGGAGCATCCGGGTTCTGTTCCCTCCAGCAGAGGAGGAGCCGTGGGTCAGCCCCCTGCAGGACGCCAGGGCGTGGGGGTCTCCGGAGAGACCCCGCCAAGGTGAGTGGCACCCAACCTGGCTCGGGGCGCTGGGGAGAAGAGCTGGGCAGAGACCCCATCTCCGGGTGCAGGGGGGCTGTGTCCCATGCATGCAGCGCAGCAGGACCCTCCTGCAGGGGAGAAGCTGGGTGCCCAGGCCCTGCACCCTCCGCAGTGTGTCCGTATGGGCCGCCACGGTGCCCTCTAGAGAGCTAGATCCGGGCAGGGAACTGTTTTTGGGTGGGGGGAGGGCCACTGGCCCACAGGAAAACCAGTCGGGGGCCGCCCACAAGGGAGAAGCAAAGTGAGGAGAAGGCCCCCCTCCCATTCCCCTCGCACTCCGGAGCCTGGGGGGCCCAGGCTGGTAGATTTTGTGGGCTCCAGCCCTGCGGGTGGATGGCAGAGGGGCTGGAGCACCAGCGCGGGCTCCCCAGCGCGGCCCCCGGGCCTGAGGTTCCCCACCCCTGGACTGGTCTGTAAAATGAAGAGTGGTGCGGAGAAAGTGACTAAGGACGAGTTATTGACTTGTTCCCATAACACAAGAACTAGGGGTCCCCCAAGGAAATAAATAGGCAGCAGGTTTAAAACAAGCCAAAGGGAGTTTTTCTTCACGCAGCGCACAGTCAACCTGTGGAACTCCTCGCCAGAGGATGTGGTGGGGACCGGGACTTTAACAGCGTTCAAGAAAGAGCTAGATACATTCCTGGAGGACAGGTCCATCGATGGCTATTGGCCAGGATGGGCAGGGATGGCGTCCCTAACCTCTGGACGACGGGGGGGTGGATCACGTGAGGATTCCCTGTTCACTCCCTCGGGGGCACCTGGCGCTGGCCGCTGTGGGCAGCAGGACACTGGGCTGGATGGGCCTTTGCTCTCCCCCAGTCTGGCCGCTCTGAAGTTCTCTCCAACGCTGCTGTGGGGGAAGCCGTAGGCCGTGCCCTGGGCGGGTGCCTGTGAATCGTGCCCATTGCTGAAAAGCCAGGCCCTTCACCTCCTCCTGGGTGCAGGTGCCTCCGGTGGAGAAGTGTCCCGGGCGAAGGGGGCGGGGTGCCCCGTACCGGGATATTTACTGGGTCCATCTCCAGACTCTCTTTTCCCCGCAGGTGGCAGGGTCGGGAGCAGGTCTGGGGCGCAGCAGCCGGGTGCCGGGGCAGGGACGCTGCAGCCCTACCGGCCGTTCCCAGGGGGGTCGGAGGAGAAAGCCGTCCTGAGCCCCGAGCTGCGAGGAGCCCCCCTGAACTCGTGTGAGTCCCGGGCACCGGAGAGAAGAGCTTCAACCGCAATTACACCCTGGTGAAGCATTTCCGCACCCACATCGGGGAGCAGCCCTTTATCTGCAGTGAGTGCGGGAGGAGTTTCAGCCTGGGCTCCTTCGCCCAGCACGTCCGCACCCACACGGGCGAGAAGCCCTACAGCTGCGCTGAGTGCGGCAAAAGCTTCAGCAGCAGCTCCAACCTGAGCCAGCACCGGCGCATCCACACCGGGGAGAAGCCCTACAGCTGCAACCACTGTGGGAAAAGCTTCAGCCAGAGCTCCAACCTCATCAAGCACCGGCGCATCCACACCGGGGAGCGGCCCTTCGCCTGCGGGCTCTGCGGCCGCAGCTTCACCCTCAAGCAGGTGCTGGTCCGGCACCAGCGCGTCCACACAGGCGAGCGCCCCTTCCCCTGCCCCGACTGCGGCAAGAGCTTCAAGGACAAGCAGAAGCTGACGGTGCACCGGCGCGTCCACACGGGCGAGCGGCCCTACGTCTGCGCCGACTGCGGCAAGGCCTTCGGGCAGAGCCAGCGGCTCAAGACGCACCGGCGTGTCCACACCCGGGAGAAGCCCTACGTTGGCA